ATATATAGGCTTATAATCTCCATTAAATGTCACATAATCTTGCTTTCCAAAAATGTATTCCCCCCCAGAGTGGACTACGGGTTCAGCCTCGCCCAGATTTCATCAATTACCAGTACTTCATCACGTTAAACGGACAAAGGTGAATACATCTTTTATATATGATCTACTAATAGTCTCGAAAACCAACAAGTTAAGAAAAAATGAGTGAAGTAGTCGAGCTGATTTTCGCAACTTTGTCGTAGTCAGAGAGACCAATATGAAAGAAAATTTTCCTAAGTCCATAATGTCCATTATAACTTTCCGTGTTGGGCCGTGGACTTGAAACATTTCAAGATACTTCACTGATAACGCATTTGGAATCGGCAGTAAATCTTACCAGTCTTAGCGCCAAACTAATCTATGAAGACTTGTAACGAGTTGCTATGATTGACAAGTCTCATTGAAGAGGCCGACTTCGATGCTGTCGAAACAACCAGGAATGTACCAAGTGCATGTTTCGACGCTGAAAATTATCAGGTATGGTATTAAGGTGGATTTATTTCCTAATTAAACTATAAAGCTTTTAAAGAGAGTGATGATATTTTCTTAGGCATCTCGTATAATCTTTTTGTAATACATAAGACTTTAATTATGTATCTCATCATTAACCTTTTTTCAATGCTATCAGAATTTAAGAAGGTCGATTTAGATACATCGATATTATCTTAAATACTAATTATAGTGACACTTAAAATGATCTATTATAAATCTATTTCTAAAATGTCCACTTCATATAGCAAGTGATCTAATACAATCATCATAAACAACATTTTTACTCGCATATGTGCATACAATGTATCTTTTAAAAAATTTTAAAGTATATATAAAATTTTGACAAAATATTTCTTATACAAGAGTTTTTCTGTTTGTAAAATAGAATAGAATATGAGAAATAATGTAATAACTAAAGTTTCATAAGATTGCCTAGTAAAATAATTTGACAATTCATAAGACATCCAATCAAAATCTATCTCTATCTAAAAGGCTTATCCAATAAGAATAAGAGTTTCACTTTTCTAGGTAGCCCTTGTTTTTATTTATTTTTGGTTGGATTATAGTGTAAGACAAATTTTGCTTTAACGTTTAACCCAGAATTATTAGCTAATGACAAAAGTCTTTTTTGATAGACAAAAGAACGCTTAACTTGGATATTATAATAAATGACTTCTTGACTTTTTAAAATGGTTGATCATCGAATCCATCCTTCCCTATCAGAGGGGATTAGGTACGAGTTACTACAATTTTGTCAGAACACAACAATACGGGGTGTTCCGAGAATAGTAAAAGCACGAAACAAGACCCTACAAACTTTATGGATTGTATTCGAAGTGCTTCTGTTTTTCGGATGTTTTGTTTGCATGTTCTTTCTGGCTAGGCAATACTTGGCCTATGATGTTATTCATCCTCCTAGAGTACTGCGAGATAGTCCTTCACCGTTCCCCTCAATAACTATATGTAATCTTCGTCCTATTTCTTCAAAAGGAATTGAAAACCTATCTATGCAGAGATTAAAGGTGCCTCGAACCTTCGCTGAAGACGTCAACGCTGCTGCAGCCTACTTTTACTATCATAGGAATCTAAAGGAGAAATATCAGTATGTTACTTCAGCTCTCTCGATGGGCGGATATTTAGAGAGCTTGCCAGAAGGAGTGGCTTCTACGCTAGGACACTCTTTAAATGATACAATAATTTATTGCATGGTAAGTAATCAGTTTAATTAACGTTTTTCATAGGTTTGACTTCACCAATCGTAATAATTTTTATCTAAATTTCAGACGAATTATTTATGCGTGACAAAACGCATTTTGAAAATCGTTTTCTGCATTGTTTTAATAATTACTATTTTGAATAGTTATTTAATCTTTGTTAATAATTTTAAATGTAATGCTTTTTAAGTCTGTTTGAAAAGACATTTAGCCTACCATCAAAAGAAAATAATTATTGACTTCTTTTGAAAAAATACTATTCCATATATTTTGTGATATATATACATATATTTCATTAAGTTATAAATGCCAAAAATATTTTCTAATCTTATAATTTTAAAAATTCCTTAAGTTCAATTAATATAGACAAAAAGTCTAATCTGATATTTGAAAAATCTTTAAAAGCTTGCATTTGAATATTCTAATCTGCTATGTTCTTGAGAAATAATAAAAACCTAGGCAACTTCTAGATCCCAATTACATATATAGTATAAAATGTATTCTGTTCTAGGAGCAAATAATACGACATAAAGTTGATTCTAAGTATAGTATATTTAGTGATTACTTTCCATCTTCAAATAAAATATTCAGAATTTTTGTATTTATGTAAAAAATGATGATTTTTT